TCTTCACCACATTTGCTTATTCACCCGCTTTGTCTTCAGCGGTTGTGTCGGGAAGGTGAGCATCATAGAATGCCAATTTACTAGAAGAAAGTATTCTTGGAAACACAGCACATTTATCCCAATCACCACTTCCATTTTACAGAAGAAAAAAATCTTTCCCGACTTCTATTTTCAGACACCGAGGGAAGACCCTTGCTGTAGACACAGGACTAGTTACACGTGGTTGCCTAGCTCGTAACCAGGAACACCTGCTCAGTAAGTGTGTGAGTCTTTTCCAGTCAACCAAAACACCGAGACTGATTCATTCAGTCATCAGACACAAACACTCGAGGGAAAAATGCATAGTGCTCTCTATACGAAGACAAGACGGTCTAAAGATCATTCTGCTTTCAGAACAAAAAGAATTGCTTTCTATAATAATGATAAACTCTCATTTAATCTCACCTTCTTTCAAAGCCTTATCCATATTATGAGAAATTACGACCCTTCTGGACTGAAATGACCCATTCAGGTTTCCAAACACAAGATTCTGAAATACAAGGGAAAAAATGATATACATTTTTAAAGTGAATCAATCATTCATTAAACTAAAACTAATGGCATAAAATACCATCTAAAATGTTAAGAAAACATATATTATTGACAAATCATAAACTTGTTTTGAAAAAATAAGTAGGTAGCTACTTAAGATTAGTTGAGATACTTTTAAAAAGGATTTCCCTAGTAGGTATCAAAAGCAAAAAATAAATCAAGAGAACAAAAGAGACTTTGTACAGATGTACAGCTATCTATGGATTAAAAACATCCCAAAGGAAGAATTTGAAGTCAGTGAGGAAAACACAAATAATGTTGGGATACTTTGATATTCATGCAAGATAAAAGGTGCAATTCCTACTTCACACCTTACATAAATAACTCTAAATTGATTACAGAACTTAAAACATTTTAACTAACTAAAATAATTACAAGGAACTGGGGAAAAGCTGTTTATAATCTTAGGATGATGAATGAGTTCCTAAATTAAGGCACAAAATCCGAAAGTTATAAACAAACAAAAATAAGTCTGACAAATGACTATTTAAAATAGAAAACTCCTGCATGACAAAAATACTATAAGCAAAATATAAATGATAAATTGGGAGATGTTATCTGTAACATATGATGTGAAGAACTATTATTTAATATCTAGAGAGTTCCTGGGAACAAATTACACTAAAGAAAAAGAAAACTAAGTGAACAGTGAAAAGGCAAATCATAAAAGATAACGATGACCAATACATTTACTTTTTAAATGCCAGCCTATTTTTTAATTATAGAAACACAATTAAAGTGACACGATACTATCAGACAGTCAAAGAAGATAAAGACCCACCGTACCTAACAGTGGCCAAGACACAAACAAAGAACCTCACTGCCATGGAGTCAATTCTGACCCATGGTGACCTCCTGGGCTAGCTAGCGTACAACTGCCCCTGTGGCTGCTCAAAAATGAAACCCTTTACGGGAATTGAGAGCCTCATCTCCCCCCAGGGAGTGATTGGTGCCTTCAGCCCAATGTCAGCCCAAAACATAACCACAGGGAAATGGCTATACACTGTTGGGGAGGGCGTGCATCTATTTCTATAAGGTTTCAAGAAGATAACCAATGAAAATGTAGCAGAAAGCATCACAATTGCACTATTGGAATTCAAGCTTAATAGTGGTCCATTAAAAAAAAAGTGTCTAAATTATACGGTATATTTTTATTCAAATCATTGTCTTAAGTTTTTGTTCAAAAGATAAGTATTTGCACAAAAAATTTTAAAAGGTAACTAAACCACATATATCAAAATTCTAAAAATCTCTCCTTTGATTCAGTGATTTCACTACTAAGAATCTATACAACAGAAATATGTACATATATGCAATACATATATACACAAAAAAACCCAAAGAAACATATCTCACTTATATAAGAGTATATTAATTACAAAACTGAGACTAACCCAAATGTGTATTACTAATCAAACATGTAAACAAACTATGCTGCGTTAATGCTTTAATGCAGCCACAGAAAGGAATGAGTTAGAACTACACATACCCTCCTGGAATATTTTCCATGATAGGCAAGGGTTTCTAAGTATATACACCAAACCATTAAATGTATTTTCGTCTAGGCTGGGGCAA